GAACTTGCACCCGTTGTTCTTTTGCTGTAGTCTGACAGGACTATGAACAGTTGTGTGGAAGAGATGACTTTTGCCCAGACTGAGAGTGGAACTCTGCTCCCCTGTCCCCTGTGACACCTGTAATAATCATGAGGAGCCCCAGGAGCAGCCTGGCTAGAGAGCCCCACAGAGCCAATTCCGTCCCAGAGAGCAATGGACATCACCACAGGAGGAAGAAGCTGAGTGAGGAGCTCTGCAGGCCTCCACTGTGCCACACTCTCCAAGCCAAAACATCCCAAATTCTCTGAAACTGATTAAATTGCACTTTTGAACTGCTACAGATCTTGCAGACTCAAGCCCTGATTCTTCCAATAGACATAACAGCACACAAACTGATGTCTAGGCAGTGCCTGACTGATATTCCTACAAATTTGAGTGGTTTAACGGTTTTCAGGATATATATTTGCAACATTGGTTCTTTTCCTTCTTATAATACTTGTTTTTAAGCTGCACTGAGGATTTTGCTACTAGAAGTATTTATCTGTCTGTGAGCAGTACAGACTCACAGGCAAACAGCTGCTTTTAACTAGGAGCTTTCAAGCCCAAGGAAACCATTGTTTCCAACTTTTGTGGGTAGCAGGGGAAGTCAAATAAAAATGGGGAAGAAAGAGAACAATGGCCAATTTGTCTGGCCGTCAGAACTGCCAGAAAAGTGGCATTGCCATCTTGTCAGGATTCCTGCACTTGCAAGCTCATCTGGAATCCTCCAAAAGCACTTCCATCAAATTGGAAGAGTTCTGCCAAAATCTGGCTGAAACCCATTCTACATCAGCCAGCATAATTCCCCTTATCAGGGGAGGTGTAAATGGAGTGAAAGAGCAGAAGAGGAAGCAGGTAAAGCTGCTTTTATGAAAAACAGAAACACTACAGGCACCTGTGCCAAGGCCGTTGGTGGAGAACTGAGAGCAGAGAGAGATCTTTGCTGTTTTCCCAGCTTTTATCTTGGTTTTCAGCAGGTACCCAGGGACCAGTGTGCTTATCACCAGTGCCAGCAATAGCATTCCAGTGCTCACACAAGACTTGACATATACAAGGACAATAGGTCCCAGTGGGAGTGTGCCAGCTGGGAGATGTTGTGTCTGGGCCACTAACAGCCTAAAGGTGAGCAGTTTATTTTATCTGGGGTTGTGCTGCTTACAGCTGCTGTTAGCTGGCAACCTCTTTCTCTTCAACTACAAGGTCCAGAGTTAAATGAGTTTCCCATCAGAAATGGACTTTGTATATACGACATGGCAATAGCTGATGCTGCCAGTCCTTGTTCTCTTTTTATTTTATAGTCTGCAGGCAGAGAGAACATTTCTCAGGGAATTATTCATCTAGGAACTCTAAATATTAACAGCAAGAGAAAAAGGTAGAGAATAGAAAGGGGAATTTGACAGCATCAGAGTTTCCACAAAGTAAAGAACAGCTTCTGGATCCAAAATCTAGGAATTTCAGGGAAGATCCAAAGGTACTTAGAAGTTAAAATGTACAAAGTACATTTAAAAAGTACAGGTTGTGCCAAGCAGTCACATACAATTCAATAATTGTCTATGACAATGAGAGCACACACTCATGATAGTTCTTAGTGACTCCCTTTTTTGCTTTTAAGTCTGCCTCTTAACACTTGAAATCTGCTTAGCAAGAAATGGCAAAACAATCTGTTCCTGAGAGTTGTCTTCAGGTAAGAAATTTCCTCCAAAATATCTGAAGAGTGGAAGAAACAGAATGATTGCTATGACTGAAACAGGTACAATTACAATGTCCCATTCCTCTGTTGAGCCCAAGTTAAAATTATCAAAACAAATATTTTCTACCAGCAATTAAAAACCTCAGTGGATAATGCAGAGAAACAAAGTAGTCACTACACTACTAATTTACCTCTATCACTAACCTGTTTCCTTTTTCTCCTTCAGGGAACATGCAAAACCATAAGAGAGGTACTGTACCTTTCTTTTTTTAATCTACTGCTCTTCTTCTAATAAGCCTTTGTGGGCATCATTCAAGGCAAGACATTTTACAAGCATTTTTTAGGTGTGCAGATAAAAAGATTTTTAAAAAACCTGTCTCTTACTGTTTTGAATATATCTGTTTAAAAACAAAAAGCATCTAATCTCATCTGTTCTATAAACCATTCTTGCACTTTCTAATTTTTTAGTCATTACAACCTATATTCAAATCTGAATTAGCCCTACACCAGGGAATAAACCCCACTGGAGATGTAGCTTTGGACCATTGTTGTACCTCCAGGAGCTTTTTACATCCATGTGGGTAGTTTCTGTTGTGCCAGCAGGCCTGCCAGGTGTTGGAAAGTCAGCCTCTTTGCCTTGTCTTGCCTCATTAAGATGCCTGTTCAGAAACTTCTCAGCAAATCCTGCAGAACCAAGCAGTAACGTGACGGAGAGCCTAAAAGTCTCTTGAAAAATAAGTAAAAAGCAGCAGCCAATCAACCTAAAGGCTGATAATAGATTTAAACAAAAGAAAGGGTAAAACACAAGGGGTTTTGACAACCACTTAAGACACTTTTTACTTAAAGGAAGAGTTCCACACAGTAACTTTTGCCCTGAAAGTGTAAATGGTTTGTCATTCCTTTGAGCAAAATGCTGCAAATAATTAAACAGAACACTTAATACTCTAAAGAAAGTCTCTTATTGTTTCAGAACCTGAGATGGATTGGATTTAAGGGGTTCATATTTCCAGCAGAGATAAACACACAAACTGTGTAGGACCAAGTGCTCACTTGTTGATATAGGCTTCTAAGTTTATTGGGATAATTGATAGAAGCTTGTATGTTTATTGGGATATTTAAAGTTTGCTTTGAATATAACCCTCAGTTAGAAAGTCTGGTATCACCCTGTTCCTGATAAGGTGTCAACAATGTAGTGCTAATGGTGATGGCCTAATGAGATTGTTGTTTTCCTCTGGCCAAGTGAACTCCACCAGCAGAATGAAAAATAGAATCAAAGGAATACCAAACTGATGGGACATTTTACAATACAGATAACACAACAAGGAAAAATGCTTGCTTCTCTGCCTCAGTGTGAGTGCAGTTTAGTACCTCCAACAAAAACACTGAAAACGGCTCTTGGTGTTGTCATAGGTGTCTATGCTTTAGAAGGTTTTTATCCATAGAACACAGGATACTTTTGGGAAAATGGTGTTCAAATATATACCTAGCAAATAAAACAGTAGGAGTACTTTCTTATAAACAAGGGGCTGGAGTTTGATTATATGCATCTGTAAAGACAAGGCAATTTCCATTTTTTCAAGACAAAAATGATGCATGCTGAATAAATAGATTTTTTAAAGCTTTGAACAACTCTAAGTTAATAGCTGAACAGGACACAAGTTATCTGTCATTTCCAGTCTCTCAAACCTTACTGCTTAAAAAAATCAGTTTGCATGCCACCCAGATATTAATGAAATTTCACCTGTGCCGTTCGAAAATTACATAGAAAATTTGTTTTAATTCAATGACAAACTCAAGAGTGAACAGAACAAATTTGTTATGGGGCAATTCTGCATCGTGGTCAGCTTAAGGTGTAGAGTGTGACAAATCTCAACAGCTGTACAGCTGGAGTTGCCAGATTGAGGAAAACATTTTCGATCAGATCCTTACTCCACACCATCCTTCCCCGGCTCCCTGAGCACAGCAAGGCACAGGGGTTTCCCTCCTGCAGCACAGTCCCCGCAGAACCCCGCAGTATTTGAGGGGCGAGGAGGGTCAGGAAGCACAGCAAAGCTCAGGGGGAGCCTGCCCAGCCCAGCCGCTGTTTTTCGGCTCCCAGAGCCCGTCCTGCCCCTGTGCTGAGCAGACACCACGTGCCTGTCTCACACCCAGGTCTGCGGTATCGGTCAGCTGAGCTGGGCTTAATCACAGCGGCAAGGATGAAGGCTGTTTACAGCAGGATTTACTCTTATGAAAACCATTAGCCTTTTAGGGCAAAAGCCGTCCTGTTGTTATGCAGAGTGTGTCTGGCACAATAGGTCACCAGCCTGGAGCACGGAAAAGTATCACCTCCTTTACTATCAGAAGAGGCACTAAACTACAATAAAGCAAAGGCCACCATAGGGGTAAAACTGGAGACATACTTAAAAGGGAAAAGTTGACTGCAAGGTCTGGAAAGACTCTAGGCTTATTTCTTCATGGGGGGAATTGGTATAGACCCAGAATTGAAATACAAGAGAAAAATCGTGATGGAAATGTGGGAGTCACTCTGTAAGAGGCAGCGAGATACACTGAGCTGATTTACTTTACAGGGCTCATATTTTACAATCTGCTTCTTCCTAGCGTGCCAAAGCATTCCCTTTGAGACAATTTTCGAAAGAGGGGTAGAATCTGTGTGTAAAGTATAGAGATTTCCACTGATAATCACCCAGTCCTGTCATATTCTTTGCTTCCTCCTCCTGAAATCCTTTTTGTCAATTTTCCTATCTAACCTGATCCTGTCCTGTCTAAACTCTACTACAGGACGTTCCAATGCTAACATGCAGCATCAGCTACCAAAACAGCTCCTTCCACAGCTGGCTGACTGGAAGCAGGAGGGAAAAATCACCATGGTCAGTTCTGAAGGCAGGCCTTGCAGCTAAGGCACACAATCACCTCAGCTTTTCTTTAAACACTAACCAGTCTAACTCATCTACCTTATTTATGCTGAGCTAGCTAGCAAAACATGGAAGCACCACCTTTGACTTGGCAGTTTTGCAAGAGTAACTGGTAAGATAACAGTCACAGAAATAATTTTTAAAATACTACAGTTTTCCTGACTGAGTTGTATGTGAATGAACACCTTGCAGCAAACCAACTTGTATGAAAGAGAAAGAATACTCACATTTGTACAGTGGTCAGGAAATGTCCTGGGAAATGAAAAGAAGTAAGAACTGAAGTTATTTCTTTTCTAAGTCAAAGCCAGCATTTCAGCCACCATTTCCAGAAACTATTAGCAATGAAATTTAAGGAAAAAAAAAATCTTGAACATTCACATCAAATGATACAACTTTAATATCTAAAAGGTGATAAGTACTAAGAAACTGATCTAGTTGACAGGCAATTAATCCTCCTTGCATAGTACATTTATCTCCATGGGATATCAAGATTTACAACATTTCAGGAAAACTGGCACCTAAGTGAGCAAGCAACCTCAATCCTATACAAAAGTTACAGACAACCTAAATGTTTCCAAGTTTTACTTTGTAATTTGTGCAGAGAATAGCCTTTGCTTTGTCCCCATCTATCCCACAGTACTGTATTCTCTCACTGCAATTTACAGCTGGCTTCTGTGTAGAAAACAAAAGGCTGCAACCCACACTGATATAGTAATTCACAATAAATCAGCTCATTCTATTCAAACTTGGCCTTTCTGAGATCAAATACCTCAAGGTACTTAGTTATGGACTTCATTTTTTCATGTAGGATGTGCACCTCACACTACTTGGGATTCCCTAATAAAGATTTTGTCCAGAGGATGGTCAATCCTTCCCTTGAGAAAGTAAAATATGAGGCTTCAGTTTCAGAAGTGCTCTTGACACTAATCTAAAATAAGCACTGAATCTTACAGGAAGCCAAAAATTTTTAACTTGCTTAACCAGCTTGCTAACAAGACAAAAGTAAAAACACTTCTTCATATAAAAAAATTGAAAGTTACATTGTGCTGTATATGTTAGACATATCTACAATGGATTTTTTCCTTTACAAAATGATAGTTGGAGAGGAGCATTGCACATACATCATCATTAATCCCTTTTTTCTAGTAACTTGTGTCCTGATTTTCAAAAGCACTGATTATCAAGCACATCCTACATACTTACTGGTAGCAGCAGGCACTCAGAACTGTTGAAAACAACTATTAGTACTTGTACTTTTGCTGCAAATGCACCATTTGAAAATAGTTCACTTGAAAATGGGTAACTTCACCTTTTAGAGAAAGTCACTCTTGTAGTGTTTTAGAACGTCTGAAATAACTATTACTAGTATTTGCTTAATACACTATAGTGAATTACGATCAAAATTAATGCCAAAAAATTAAGTTTATGATAAATAAACTTTGGAAAAATTTATACAAGGCCGTAAATAAATAATTTGAACTTCAGTCTCAGTAAGAAGTAAAACAGTATGTCACATGACAATATCATCCTATCTAAACAATACAATCTTGCTATATTTTATTGCATAATAATTTGAGAGTAACATCTTAAGTAAAATTATGTAAAGAAACAAAATCATTAGATTCACTTTCTTTAATATTGAACAACCAGTTCTTTGTACATAATCCAATTTAAAGATAATATAATTAGCACTTCCAGCATTAACAGTCTGTATTTACAATGAATGAGATGGGGTAGATCATCTTATGAGTATTCAAATCTGTATGAAACAAATCAAAATACGAAGATTTACAGTAGTAGGCTCAAAATCCAAGACTCTTCCATTAATGGAATGCAATTAAAAAAGGCTTTGTTGCCTTTTTTACTTGTAAGGGTTCCTGAAATGGTTATTTAAACAGAAGAAATCTTCAGTAATGCCTTCATTATTTGAACATGACATTGAAAATTAATTCCAATACTTCTGTTTTTTACTTGCTTGTAGACGAGTCTGAAATCTGACGAAAGGATAACAAGGAAGTTTACTATATAAATCCTAATTCCATATTCCTGAATGCAACGGTTGGAAGTAGATGATGTCAGTCCATTCCAAGGGTTATGTACACAAAACTTATAAAATGTTCTTCACTCTTGCATAAAATGCGTACACAGTATCAGTGAGTGGGGGACTTCAAAGTTTTTATGGGCTGTTGCTGGCATGGACCTTTGTTGGTTGAAAATAAAATACCTTTCACTCTATTGTTCTGGTAGCAGTTTTACAAGTTAATCATCAATCCCTGGTGTTTCCCCCTGTTGTATTCTGGAGGCTATTCTAATGGCTTCTTCCAGAGACTGTTGTTCTCCAAGCTGAAACAAATGCATTTAAACACAAAGAAATCCAAAATGTTACACTTAGATAATAAATGCATCAAAAAAGATCTCAAAACAAAGATCTAGATACCAACAATATCCAACACAAACAAGTGTGATCAGTATTGTCACACCTCTCCTGGATGATAATATATACCAGCAGCTATCTAATCAGCATGACAATTAAGATAGCTGCTGATAGGCGATTACACCGAGTTTCTAAGTAACCACTAAATACATGTGCTTCAGAGAACTGCTGCGTGATAAACACACTGACCCACAAAGTAGGTGATATTTTACTTGGCAGATATACAAAGCTCAGACAAGGCACAGAAGTCCAGTGGCTGTTGCATTTCATTTTATCACTGGTAAAGCAAACAAATATCTTCATTTTTCTTAACTCTCTTAACAGAAAGTCAGCTTTTTGGAACACCACATGACATTAATTTATAGGAGTGTACATTTATTGCAGAATCCCACCTGCATGAAAAAGCTGTTGTGATGACACTGTTTGATTCTGCAGTTAGTTTAGAGAGGAAATTATGTGTTACTACCAGAAGCAAGATAACCAGCCCTGAATAAACACAACTTGACACAATTTTGGGAAGGAATCCATGGAGTTTTATAATATGTTCATGGAAACACTGAAGACAACCTCAACCTCACAAAAAAAAAATGTAAAGCTGGCCATTACCTATTGGCTCAGAAGAAACACATATGAGAGTGTGAAAAGTTAAACCAATTTGTTTGACCTAATGGGACAATTCTAAGTATCACTTGTTATTTTTACAGTCACGGCATATCACATTCTGGATCCACTCAAATCAAGACCTCTATTTTCACCTCGTTAGGATTTCAATAGGGCTATCACTAGTTAGATACCAAATGGATTAATTTGTTAGTATTGAAGCACAAAAGAAAAGCCAATCAAACCCTTAGGAATAATCAACAGCATTTTAATTTTGAATTATCTCTCTTCTCTTTGTGTATTTTAAGTGTGTCTGGCACACACTTAAAGAGACTTAAGTTAATGCTCCATTGCTGGTAACAGAAGAGGGGCTTGTGCAGTGCCTGTTTTTCTTTCATTCAGAGAACCCACTGCTGAGGGTGCAAGTTACTTCCCTCTTGCTCTCATGCAGAAAAATCACCTTCTGACATGGTTTCTCTTACAGGCACTTTTGGTTAGTGACAACTTAGCTCAAAAAAGAGGAGTTCAGAATTCAGAGCTTCTCAACTTTCAACAGCATCTGACCTGCTACTTTCCATTTAACAAAGGGTAAAATAACAATCTCTTGTTTCTGCTTGAGGATATTAATACTATTCCTTTCAATCTGAGCTCTTAAGAGCTCTTTCATACCTAGAAATTACCTTTTCCTGACGATGTTTGAACAATGTGAGGAACTATTTACAGAGACTGTTTGTACTGTACTGGTTTGGCACATAACAGAAGGTCACTATTTCCAGAGATTTCTGATTATTATAATCTTTCCATATAACTGTTTGCACTATTTTGCTATTAGCATTTCAAGGTTCAAATAACAAATTTGCTAATTTTATAAGTTCATAGCAATTTATTCATGAGAGTTTGGCTTTATATGTGTCAATCCTATATGTAAAGCTGAAGGATGAACAAAAGCACTTTCTCACTGAAAACCTGTGAGTCCATTAAATGTTTGGTTGACCTGAAGTTTGGACCTCCCCCAGCTTTCCCCTTTTTTCAGATTTCTACAAGTAGATTTGGAAAATCAGATGCTGTTTATTCCTCTTCCTAACCCTATATACTATTTTAAATATGAGATCATATAGTTGTGGGCTATTTTTTTTCAGGGAAACCAAGCTTATTTAAATCATGTTGTTATTTGACTAGGTAGCTTCTAGCTCTAGAAGTAAGAAACACTCCAAAAAATATTTTGCCCATCTTACCTGTACTGCAATTTGTGTCCCATTGGATGTAGCCAACAATGTGACAGGTCTAGTTTCTGTAGTCACTAGATGGTGTCCGTGCTGCTGGTGTCCCATTTCTGAGGAGGCACTGTGAAACGCTGCTAAGTCTTGGGCCACAATTGCAACCTTCAGGACAAAGGGACACAATCACCTGCCTGGCAGATTTCTTCCTGCTCCTCACCTCATACCACCACTGCCTTCTCAGTTACAGTCAAAGTTGGGAACTCAGGAGCATAATTGTATTTTGCAGAAGAAAAGTTGCCATAATTCTGTTCTCCAAATTATCTACTAGCTCTTAAAATAAAAATATCTTCAGGACTGCAGCAATTCAATAAATGCACCTACAGATCTGTGATTATCTACACAGAGATTAATAACTATCTTCATTTTCATGTGGTGCAATTTTAGAACATAGAATGGATTTTAAGTTAAAGATAGCATCATATTTGTATTAAAAAGTTACCTGTTTTATCTGTACATTGAAAACCAACCCAGATACAGACTTACACAAAAGTTTCCCATCTGCCAAATAAATTAGAGTCCCATAATACTGACCAAAGAAATTATAGTTCATACTGGATTTTATACTTAGTTCTGTCACACATTTACTGTGTGACTTTGAGAAAAAAGCTTGGCATTTCTAGGTGTTACTTTACAGACACCTAAATGAATCATTGGACTGGTACCTGAGATTTTTTTCTTGGTGCCCACTTGTTTTTAAAACATTCCACCGCCTGCTGATGTGCAGCAGTGGGTAGAACACATCAAGCACTTAGGAAGGGAATGTGTTGGCCCAATGCTGGAAACTGCTTTGCTGAGGTGAATTACATCAGTGGCAGGAAGGCGATGGCTCAGGGGCCCGTTTGACAGCAGCTCCTGAAGGGACACGACCCAGGTGTGCAGGACGGTGTCTCACCTGCTGTCCCTCGGTGCCCTCTGCAGTGACCATGGCCACCGAGTGCGTTCCGGCCGAGGAGATGACGGCGTCGTGGGCAGGGACTGTGATGGTGGTGCCATCTTGTGTCACCATGGTGATGGTGTTGCCGATGGCCTGCATGTCTGCCTGGGATATGTTCACCTGCAACACACGCAAGGGGCTGACTGCTGCTCAAGCCACAGCCCTCATTCCATCTGCCTCGCTGACTGGCATCTACCAGCTCATGACCCTACAGATAACTGACCTGTTTACACAAAGGAATATGGCTCTCAGCAGAAGGAGGGGTTGCACACCTAATCCCAGAGCATACAACTCCATGTTAATCACAGTGTATCCCAAATAACACATAACAGATTATCTATGCCTATATCTTCCACAGAGGTCAATGGGATTTAAGGTTGTACCACCTGACATACTTTGATCTCGATGGAAATACTAAAAAGCCTTATAAGGGCTTAGAATTAAAGCCACAAATAAACAATCCATAACAAATTAATACTATAAATTACTGATGTCTCCAGTATAAATGTATTAGGGCATCATTGGATGTCTGATTTACAAGGTAATAAATCCCAGAACTGAAGTCAAGCTGAAAGATAATTTAAATGTAAGAATTCTATGTCAAGGCCTTCATTTTAGAGGGTAAAAATGCCAGTTACTTAGTATTGCTGCAATGTCCAATGTCCTGGCAATATAACAGGCCCCTTGGATATTTTATTTCTGAATTCAGAATATATCTTTCATATGTTACTGGTGTTTCAGCTGCCCTGCCAGCTGATATACAAATTTTTTCCCCATAGCCTTCAAGATACTGCTGCAGTGAATCAAAAGAGTTGTGCTGAAATCCCTTTCCAAAGAAATTTCATATGAATTCCTTAAAAATATGTATCCATGCAACCTTAAAAAAAAAGACAGCCATAGGAATGTTCAAGTGGAAAATGGTATCAAAGGATTCCTTATTCTTTAGTTTAAGTTAGAAACTGCACACTACCAACCAAACTGCTTGTAAAGAAAGCACCTAGACTGAAAAGACTTCTCACCCCTCAACCCCCCAAAGTTTGTGCAGACAAGACAGTCAAGATGCCCAGCAGATATTAATAACATAATCTGGGAATTGTGAGAAATCTCAGAAACAGGCTGTATATATAAACAGCCCTTTACAGAGTGACAAAGATAACAAGGAGAGACTAATCTCCTAACTTTGGAAAATTTTACAGTTTCACATGACAGAATTTGTGGTTTCATTTAGGTATTGCAAAGGAGGCACAACCCTAAAGATATCCTGACACAGCTCCAAAGAAGCTTCTTTCCACCAACATTTATCAAGAACCCTATGTGATTTCAGAGAGCCCATGGAGAAGCTGCAAACCCATGCCTCAATTCTCAGCATGGTTTTGTCAGAACCTGACACTGCAGTTACTTACATGTTGGGTTCCATCCTGGGATATTAGTGCCACTTGTTGGCCTAGTCCTGACTGAGTAACTGTAGCAACCTGTGCAGAAATGACATCTTCTCCCTCTACACCTGTCACGTAGGTGATCTGGGAGCCTTTGAGCACATCTTCACCTTGACCTATTGGACACAAAGAAGGAAAGAGGATACTTTTCATACTCTAAATGCTCCCAGGAGAGCAAATGACAAGGATAAAGTCCCAGTTTTGCCTGAAGGTTTTAAACACTCAAACACAAAAATCTAGTGGAAAGACATTTAGGAGAAAAATAAAAGAAGGAAAGATACCAGAAGAAAGTCAGAAAGTCTTATTTTGGGAACATGGGGTATAGTCTTCTAGCAATGAGTTTAAAGACACATAAATACTACATATACATTTAGTTTGTAAGCAAATATTAAAATGTGATAAACATTCTAATTTATTCATTAAATGTTAACCTCTCCATGCAAGGGATCCCATGCAAACACAGCTGGATTTTTAAAAAGTTATTAATTAACAAACATACAGAAGAACATAGCGACATGCCTTTGTGTGAAGATTTAAGTAAATTCATTATCTTGATAAATGCTTAACCTAAGCAAATGAATGTTATCATTCCTTTAAAAGAAGGAATTAAGCTATAGTAAGTCTGCTGGAGGCATTGAGTGCAGTTTCCCATGAACATGTAGCAAAACAACTTTTTTAACCAAAACAGTTTGTGCAGATATTTCCCATCTTCAGGCACATCCAAAAATCACAATTTGACAAGTGGTGTTCATCCTTCCACAGTATTTCCTTCATTCTGATCCTTTATACTCATAGGATTCAATACTCATCATACCATGAACAGCAAACTGTGAGGAGGACTGCAGCACAGCAGCTCCTTTTCATATCTGCCTCTAGGACAGTTTACAGAAACTGCTCTAAACCACAGCAAAACCAGCCCGTATCACTGCAAAACCAGATTTTTTTTCTCAAGGCAGAGCCTCTACTCCCACACAAAAGATTGTCACCAGCCATATATACACACACTCTTTGAGAAATCCCTAACAAAAGTCCAGTAAGTTGTAATCAGCTGAGAGTCTCTCTGGCCCCTTGCCCACATTCATGTTTTTAGCAGGTTTGCCGAGAATGCAACTCAAATTTCTCTCTTAACTCCATGACTGTAATAAATGAGTTTATTATCTAGCCAGATATCATGCAATTTCTGTTTACAGGTTGCCTACCACCCTAAAAAGTCTTACAGAGAAATTAAGAAATCTTTATGAAGTACTTTAACTTATTTATCTGTTTTATTTTCCTTGGCTNTTTTTTTTTTTTTTTTTTTTTTTTTTTTTTTTTTTTTTTACACCTGGAGATTCAAAGGCTGCAATTCTAACCTGGAGATGGCTCAAAGAAGGCCTCTTGTTCTTCCTCAATGGGCTCTGTGTCGTTGTGTGCTGTCCGTTTGTGCATAGCAAGGGTAGAGATCTGCTTGTAGGTCTTCCCGCAGTGATTGCAGTTGTATGGTTTGGAATGAGTATGTACAACATGATGTTTGTATAAACTGGAATACTCTGTGAAACGTTTGTCACAGCCAGGGACTGTACACACATAGGGCTTCTCCCCTGCATGGGAAAACAAAAGGTACAAAGAGAACTTTATTCAGGGTGCACAGGAAAAATTGCCAGCAAATGATATTTGGGGACAAACCTTCCTTGCCAACCATACTTTAATTTCAAAGGCAACAGAGAAGCTCAACCTCACAGAGTTTATCAATGCAACATCTTATTGTCTTTAAGAATCACTGCCAGTAAATTTGGCCCATTTTTCTCCCTATCATTCCATCTAAAACATCCTTCTGATGAAGGCAGAATGATACAGGCTGAAAGCTGCAACTTCAGTTTGTCATTGTACTAATAATTTTGTTATTTTATTACTGGAAGCCCCATAGTTTTCCTCAATGATCAGATATATTGATTGACTAGTATCACTTTTGAGTATTGAAAGCGCTAAAGAGATCCATAGGAAGCATGTGTATAAACAATTATAGCAACCTTTCAATTTAAAAATCAATGGAACAAGTATCCAAATTACATTGTAAACTAAAAATATAAACTAAGATACAAAACATTGCTCTATGAATCTTGTCTGTGTTTCTATAAAATACATAATGCTACCAAGCTGATATGGCTATCACTGGCTTTTACATTTTAGAATCTTCAAATTTGAGTTTATTATTTCTGCTCACTAAATAAATATTCTGCTCACTAGATAAGTATTTTCACATCTAGTCTATAAAAAAAAATGAAGTTCTGACCACACTTCCAGCAACAAGGAAAATACAGCTGGGATGAAAGGGTGACTCATAACAGTGAGCCAAAGTTAAGCCCAGACGTGTCCTTTACTGCTATTTATTTAAGAAACAGCTCACAAGGGAGGCAAGCCCCAGAATAATATTAAGGATTCAACCCAATGTCCAGTTTAAAACACTTTATATCCAAACCAAAATTATTCTGCCTTGACAGCAAGATGGGAAATCTAACTGCTTAAATATCCTCAGCTGAGGGGAGAGGAGGCCCAAACAGATTACCAAGCCAAGTCATATAAACATGACTATAGCCAATTACAACATACCAAAACATTGTTCACAGGGAGAATGACACAGCCTCTCCCAAGCAGACTCCACTTCAAAATATAATAAATCACTCATATACCTGTGTGTATTCTCACGTGATTCTTATAATTAGTTGCACTGGCAAAAGCTCTCCCACATCCTGGCTCTGTACAGTAATAAGGCCTTTCTCCTGTGTGTGTCCTGATGTGAACCTTTCTAATATTAGATGTTGTGAATGACCTGCCACATCCTTCAAAGGGACACTTAAAAGGCCTTTCACCTGAAAAAGAAGACAATAAAAAGTTCACACGCAAAGGTTATAAAAGAATTAAAATCCTAAGTTACACTTAGAGTTGAATGTAGGAACCTAAAGCTACCTAATTTTATCTTTGAGATCCTCAATCAGAAATACCATGAACACGCCACTGTGGAGTGTTCTTGTTTAGCCAAAATGAACAAAATTCAGGAAAATCATACAGTCTGTAAGCTAAATTATAAAGCATTTAGATTAATATTTTAACATGTATAGAACAGACCCAGTTGCTTGGATTAGCTTGCACACTGCCCATAATCCAGCAACTATTTAAACCTCCCCAATTCGTATATATATTACCCAAACCAAGTGTATCATACCATTGACATTTGACAATTGTTAATTCTTCAAATGAAAAAAAAACCGTAATGATTTAACATATAACCAGGATAAACATGGATTAGTAAAACTTGTTATAGAAAGCACTTAACCTTAAAAAAGAACAAACTTTCTAAAGAGAAGCAGCCCCAGAGCAAAGCAAATCACAAATACAGGTTCTTCTAGAGTAAGTCTTTTTGTGAAATACAAGTTTAAGCGCAACAATTTACATCACTGCACCAAAGCATTTAACTGTGAACAGCAGACAAGGCCAAGCAATAATACTCCAGTAACCCTGACCTTTCAGATCCATCAAAGCACACAGAGAAGGAAAACAAGGGGGGTTAAATTTGGAGACCTTCGAGCCACTGACAGGCTGTTCTGGGGTAATTTCCCACTTCTAGAGCCAAGTACATTCCACACACTGTGCTGCTTACCAAAGAGCAGAATCTGAGAGCGAGAGCAGACCACCACTACCGATACAACAATAGGTACTTAAAAATAAAAGAACAAGTCCTGATAGAGAGTAATACCACGAAACTCCAAAGCAGTTAGCTCCTTGGCAGAGGAAACTACTATTCACTCCTTCGGACAGCTGTTTTGGGAAGGTTTTCCAGCTTCCTGCCAAGGCAGTGTGTATTCCCCGTACACCTCAGTGTTGTGTTACCATGGCTCCCCTAATCCTTGCTTTAGCCAGGACCCCGAACACGTCGGAAAGCAGCAGAGCCAACCCCACCCAGCAACAGACCCTGCGCTACAAACAGGACACATCCTCTGAAACAATTCCCGCAGGAATGTCACCAGACCGGTCCCCGAGGGGGCCTTTTCAAATGCTAATGTATTTCCTAGCAAAGCGACCTGTTTCCAGGTGACAGCGAACTCCAACTCCAGAAATACAAAGCCTTGAGCTCCACCCCACTGCAGCAGAGGCGCCGTCCACAGCAGCGCTCCCGATCCCTGTGCCATGGAGAAAGCCAAGGCAAGCATTTGATGGCACTTTAAGCAGGACCTGACTCTACTCACAGAGGGGGAGAAGTCACTTCTGGTTAAAACAGGCAGAAAGTGAAGAAAGTGCTGACCCTGATGTACCTCCTGCAGGAAGGGAAAGGTTTCTGAGCCGTGGGAGGGAGCGGGAGAGCCCAGACCTGCCTCCTGCCCTGCTGCAGCTTGCACAAGGCGAGAGCTGCTCCATCCACCTGCACAAAGCGGGTGCTGCACTTTTCTTCTCATTTAGCTGCCTGGAAACACTCCTAAATCTAAAATGAGACACCTCTGGCTCCTGGTCTGCTGGGAGATTATGATTCTATTACTCATATTGCTCAGGTGGGTAGGTTACATAGGGCTGGCTCAAATCTTTTGTCTCAACTGCTAAACAGAGATTAAATTACCACACACTTTGTGGCCATAACAAAGGGGGAGAAAAACAGTCCACAGATAAGAAACCTTTCAGTTCATAGTCTGTACTTGATGCAATGCATATCAACAGTCCTCCTCCAGAGCTGAGATGATATGTGTTCACACTGATGTTTAAAAATCAAGACAGCACTAATCCCAACAGATTTTTTTTTTGTCTGTGGAAGTCCAAAAAAGCAGAAATAACTTAAGGTAATCCTGCGTTTTTACAATTTTTATTGCCTATATTTACATACCATCCCCCATATTTTTTATTTTGAAAAAAATCCAAATTCCCTCCCTACTTTTTTTTTTTTTTCTTCTTGACTCACAAACATTCAGACAGGTCAGTGGAAAAGCTTGTCAGTGTTCTAGCAGGGACATAAATATATTTAATGGAATAGGTTAGTGATAAATTGTTCTTCCTATATTTAGGGGTTGTTTTTCTTGAAGATCACAGGCACAAAGGAGACATTGTGCAGTCTTGTTTACATGTGTGTGCATCCACAGAGTTTTGCAGGGTGCAGCGTGTGCTGTCTAGAATTTGTGGTCTGGCTTTCAATTTAATGTTTTAGAAAAAATATAAGATTTTATTTTTTATGCCTTTGCAAGTTTTAGTAGCTGCTGGTTTTCTATGACATTTTTGTTTTTCTGCTGGAAGAAGAGATGGGAAATGAGGATAACAAGCTCAGAATATCAACCTTCATGAAGCTGGCATGCGAGTTATATTAAAGCACCAAAACTGAGGAACACTGAAGCCATTTCCAAAAGACAAGACAGATTATTGAGGAAAAGTTCCTTGTTCTGTTACAGCTGCAGATGAAACTGTAAAGGCAACGAGTGACTCAGTGACAATGTAAGTGAGGCACTGCTAAAAGTTAGTGCATTTGCAATAGCAGTGTGAATGCTTTAGCTCTTTTTCCAAGAAAAGCATGCTGGATTTAATGCTTACCATGCTGAAATGCTGCTGAGCTCACTGGGCTTCAGAAAGAGAATATACACAGGCTGATTTTGTCAGTGTAAAGTCACAGAATGAGGAAAGACAAAAAACTAAAGATCCACCTAGTGAATTAACAAAAATGTGTGCTGCTGGTACCTGTGTGGGTCCGAATGTGCTTCTGCAGGTCTCCAGAAGTCTTGAAGGATTTGGTACAGTTCTCCTCTGTGCACCGATAGGGTTTCTCCCCGGTGTGTGTGCGCACGTGGCTTTTTAACCCGTACCCTGGGAGCAGAAAGGATGTTAGCATGGCACCAGCACTAAATCAGGATACTCATCAACCATCACCAGCAAAAGCTGGGTTTGCCACTCCAGTCAGGAATGCTGAGGAGTGAAATGTACTCGTTCATTCCTTGATTTTTTAAAAAATTATTTCATTTATTTCCATACTTCTCCTTCCCTTCAGAAGGATAAACTGCAATTACGTGGACAAATATTAATTCTGCGTTCTGAAGAAGCCATACACTCTGCATTCCATCTAGTTTTTACCTCTTACCACTACTGTCATCAAATTGACATTTAATTCTTTGCGCATAGGAAAAGCAATAACCACAAATGAAGTCAGCAGTAAAAGCACATATACAGATACTAACCAAGAGCAGTCCTAAACACTCATTCTCTTTAAGATTATTTTTAGGAACCCATCATCATCAAAAACTCTACCAGTCTAAAGTGAACTTTGCATCAGGCCCTCTATAAATTATTTTGCAATAAGCATTTAACCAAGATATTCCTTTCAGCACTTCCATGAAAAGATAATGACTAAAGAAGCCTGAAACAGCCATTTTAGAAAATGAACCTGAATTTCACTTGTATCCACAAGTGATGCATAAATTTGTACAAAATAAAGTCTGTAAGAAAATGACATCTGCTTTAATTTCAGTGAGTTCTCTCCAAAACAGCTGAAATTCCTGTTCTTGATGTTTTTAAAAGCATGAAGCATGTTAACCAAGCTGAGCATTAATTCACATTTACATCTAAAATAAACTCAATTTCATGACCCAACCCAGGAGAGTTCTTAACATTCAAACCAAAGAGTACTCAGTACTTAACTTTGTCCAAGGCAAGGATTGTTGAACTACAATAGTACAATGGCTCTGATCAAAAATACAGTATTTATAAACAAACAGGTGTTTATAATCAGTGTGTTGCAAAAGAAGAGTATTTAATTACATAATTTTGAAATCTCTTTACAAACACTACGCAATTAAACTTAGGTGCAACCCTTTAAAAGTGTGGTTGTTTACCTTTTGACTTTTTGCATCAGTATTTATTTTGCTCATTTCTATCCAAAGCAATTGTAGCAAATGTATTAGATTAAGCTATTTCACAAATACCTTATTTAAAAAAAAACAGAGCCTAACTTCTCTATGCATGATACTAATTTACATTCCAAGTAAAAGAATGAAATTTGAAACAAGTTTTGCTCTTCCCCTTTCTTCCATGTTTCATTCTTATTAATTGTATTTTGCACAATCAAATTCAATCTCAGGGAGAGCATCATTATGAGCAGAATAACCTGTACAAATGGAGAGTTCACTTAATGACAGATGTCACTCTGATAGAAATTCAATAAAGAACACTTAAACAAGCATCTTCCATAAAAGTTCCTTTCAAATTTAGACCAGAAGATCAGGAATCTGCCCCTAGCCTACAGGTTCAGCTTTCTATTATCGCCTCATTTAACTTTTGCTATTAGTTTAATGGTAAGAAATGCCTATTTTTTAACATTTAGTTTGACTGTAGATGACAGATGAAGAGGGAAGTGTTGAGTGCTTCACCTCCTACCCCCTTCAATAAGAGTTAAATCCTCTGTCCTTTCTATTGCTACATTAGCTTAAAAAGAGACTTTTTTCCCCACTCATCCCAACCAACTTAGTAGTGAAAAAAGGCAATATTAAAACTTACTTTATTCACAGACAAACACTAACAAGCAGGAGGAGCTAGTCTGCACAAGAGTACCTGTTGCAAAGGCTTTGCCACATCCAGGATGTTCACACTGGTATGGTCTGTCTCCTGTGTGAGACCTTTCATGCACCTGTTGACATCCATACATTGACTTAATGAAATGCTGTATCTGGTTACTTCAGCAGAGAAACAGTTCATTCTCAAAGCCAACATATTTTATTTATCTTACCAAGATTCACACTGAAGTGTCTGTTTATATCAGTGATGAAAAAATAATGAAATATGGTGACAACATTTTCCCTAAAACTAAAGATGTCTCTTTGCAAGGTCTAACCTGATCCTGTCAGTCAGTTTGGCACGAAACACTGCTGTAAGTACATGCAGAGTTGCTGTCATACACTACATTAAAGACAGGAGGTAAATATGCCTCAGAGTCCACTCTCTATCTGATTTTTGACTCTACTGAATGCTTCCAATGATGCTCTTATATCGCATGAAACCTCTACAGCAAGGACATCATTTCAGCAAGTAACTCAAAGCCAGCCACTCACTGACTCCTGTGGTCAGAGACAAAGCAGCACTGTGAGCAGGTTACCTCATCAGCAAGGGATTGTGCCAGCCTCAGCTGGAACGTGAGCAGCCCTATACCATTTACCATTCAGTAATTCCTTTACATAATTTACAAAAAGGAAGAGAATTAAGAGGTTGCCATCTGTGAAGAAAAGATGGGCCAGATTTTCACTTTGAATTTTTCAAGAGTCTCACTTTGTACTATGATGGTATTTTGAAATATTTCAAAATCTGGAATTTTTGCATGATCATACATGTAAAGTTAATAAAGCAAATGCTGGATTCCAGAATTTCTGTGACATTGCTGGTGGGAACAACCTCACCATGCTGGCAATATAGCAGCTGAACATGATCCCAGAACATTAAGTAAACTCAGCTGAGCACCACCAATTACTGTAAAATCAATTCAAAACAGCCCCATTGCAACTGGCTCCCTCTCAATTTCTATTACTTTTAACCACATCTTTCCAAAAAGATCATATCTACAAAGTAGCAAAGCACATTTTACATCTCATCACCTTAAGATGATGAGCTGTTGTGTACAGTTTTCCACAGCCATCATAATCACAGCGAAAGGCTTTCTCTCCAGTCTGTTGAGATTTTGCAGTCACTCTTGTTCCATGTCCTTGCAAGACAATCTTAAGTGGAAGAGAAAAAGAATTTTAAAAACCCCAACCACATACTAAAAAAAACCAAAATGGATCAGAGAAGTTACACACTTCATTTTGCTATCAAGCCAGAGCTGATTCTGACAGTTTCTTTTGTTTCTCTTTGCTTTGCTATGCCATGTATTTCCGAGTCCTCAATAAATAAACTAAAAATAAATAACTGAAAATCATGATGGAAACTGTAAAATATGTTTACTTGTACCTAGCAAATATAAAAACTTGCAGTAAATAGTCAAATAACAAAGACAAATTATTTATAATCACAGTGGTAAAATGACCAAATTAGTAGACAGACAAGTGTTAGATTATATCTGAGGTGCTAGATCTGTTCCTAAGAGAAATTAGTTATAAATCAGACCACCTTCAAATATAAGTTCATGGAAAGGCCAAACATTAATTAAATATCTCTAGAATGAGCATTTTTTAAAAATGAAGGAGAGCATTTTGCACTTTGTCTGCCTTGCATGTATTTTGATCACGCTAATTGGAGCATTGTAAGTTAGGTTCTACTCTCCCGTGTGGCATGACAACAGAAAAATGTACAGCACAGTTTGAGGAGGCACCTGAAACCCCTTGTACAGGCTCCTTCATACACTGATATGCAAGAAACTTGAAAAAAACCTGACCTTCATACAGACACAACACAGAGGCAGCAGCCCAAACATCAGCACTTCCATACAGCTCTGTGCAAAGCAATCAAGACTGTTTTATACAGTCTATCCTTTCAAATCATCCCCCTTTTGTTACAGATCCCATTCTATTCCAAACTGTCAAAAGAACATTTCACAGGATAGATAAGGAGAAAATACTCTCAGCATAAAATAGTGTCAGCTGCAGCAGGTTGCTCACAGCCATATCCAAATGGGTTCTGAATATCTCTAAGGATGGAGGCTCCTGGAGTCTGCTCCCAAAGTTCACATTCTCAACATCTTTTGGCAACTGAGGCTCTGCAAAGTGGCTCACTTTGCTCAGTAACCTGCTCAGATTGCCTGTTGCCATCTCTGAACTCCAGAAAGCTCCTCATGTGCCCTGTTGTGATGCCCTTCTGCAGACACTGAGGATGTTAAAATTCCCCATGAGGATGTGAGCCTGTGAGCACGAGGCTTGCTCCTGTTATCTGAAGAAGGCTTCATCATCACCTTGTGTACAGTCACCACCTCAGACCCACACTGGTCTGAGCCACCTCCCATGCCAAAGCCCTGTGCAGTCCTGCAGCTCCCACTGCCCTCCTTCCCCACGTGGCCCTTTTAAAGAGCCTGGATCCATCACCACAGCACTTCAGCCATCTGAGCCCTCCCACCACAGCTCCCTACACCACAGACACTGCAGCCCTGCAACAGCACACAGACCTTTGTTTACTCTTTCAGAGAAATCACTAACACCTTTCCTACAGATTCTTCAAGAGGATGGAATAACCCATTACCTTCAGACTGTTTGTAAGACTAAAAAAGAAAAGTTCAATACAAAGTTTTTAATCGGCTGAAATGTTCATATCCATCACTTCAGAAAATCTCTGGAGCCACAGAGAAAAACAACCTCCTGGATCAAGAAACCATTACTGATACTCTTGTTTAACCTAGGACAGCATGAATCACAGAAACCACTTCAGTACATTAAGGATCATGAAGAATACACTTGGTTGAGCACCTGTACTGAAGCACTATTTTTTTTTTTCTATCAGTAAACCTACTACTATCTATTTGTATCAGTAACCTATTACTATTTCTTTGTTGTTCCAGCATATAAAAATATTCATATAAAAATATGTGTATACTTGCTAAGTTTTGCCATAAAGCTCAAGTATGCCAAAGCTGAAAAGAAAATGAAAACAATTCTGTAATGTGCTAATACCTGCAAAGAAATAACCAGCCATAATCCTACCAATATTAAGATGGATACAAAAACTGGGGAGGAAGCACCTTTCTAACAATATGGAACTTACTGAGAGGAACTGTGTACTTCAAATACTTTTAAACAGAATTAATAAATAAATAAAATTTAACCTCCTATTTTTTAAGAGATCACAAATGCATCCTGATCTCAGAGAGGTAACACAGGAGAAAAACAAAGACCTTGGATCAGATTTTTCTACTGCACACATAAAAGCAGAATCATATAACTGGAGTGTGTATTATGAACAGATGGGTAGACAGGTTTGAAAGGAAATAGTGAGATATCCATTTGGGCACACAGACTCTTTTGTTTTCCCATGTAGAAATCACAAAGAGGTTTTATACTTTTTTCCTTTGCTGAAACACCTAACTAACCACATGCAAGTCTGAGTGACTGCTTAGCAGTGTGACATCTGTTCTGTTCCCTGTGGACTTAAAAAGTTTATAAATATACACCTATTTAATTCTACATCTAAATATAAGACAATTTTATATATTATATATTAATACATGTGAATACAGACTGAATTACAAGTAGATATCTACTTAAATCAAGCTTTAAGAATTAGTTCTATTTACATACAGAACTGATAGCTGTGGGCCCCTTCAACTGAAGGCCAACTGTAATCACCTTATAAGGGTCAGAATTTGAGACTAAGCCTCACTACCTTTTTGAAATATCAGATCTTGTTTTGTTTGGAACATGCAGTGATCCATAAGATTGGCACATTTCCATACGGCACATATGTTACCATATATGTATAAGATAAAACCACCACATTCAGTTTCCTTTGGGGCTGAGGCCAAAATCAACATTTAGGTGGATACTGATTACACATAATTTTGCCTAATAGGTTCTTACTTCAGGTAAAACCAACAACGATTTTATCTTACTCTTCCTTGAATTTTGCCTTTCATTGGAGTTGTATCCCTATTCCAGCATACAAGTGCAAATCCTCTGAATTTCTTAATTTCATTTTCTGGAACATGGTCCAGTACACTAACTAATGCAAGTATTAGTTAATTCTCTCCTTCCACAGTCATTCCACACAGGCAAAGGTAAAGTGTCTGCAGCTTTAAATATTGTGGGATCTAACTTGTAAAACATTAAAAATAGAAAATCTGATCTAACTGTGAGAGGTGAGTCTATAATTATTCCTTTCACAGATGATGCATTTTGATCTTGGAAGAAGACATCTTTCCTCCTTGTCTACTTCATTATTTCTTAAATTAAGCAAAAAGGAGGAAAGGTTTGCCCAGAGAAGCCCCATTCTCAATGCAATGACTTTTCCATTTTTGATTTTGTCATCTGAACATGTGAGCATACAGAAAGTTTTTGTATTATTTTAGGGTTAAGCCCAGAACACATTTTTCTTTGTCTTTTCCTTTAATAAAATACATTATAATGCAAAATACCATTCTCCTTACATAATTTTATGGATCCTAGGGAAAAAAGCTTGAGACTTAGTAAATTAAACCTGTATTTTCCATTACCCTTTGAACTTTTAAATTAATCTTCTAACATTTAAAGGTTTTTACATTTCTGTGTAGCAACAATATGGATCCAGAAGAAGAAATTGAAGTATTTTTCTGTTCTTTAAGCATTCTCTAGGAACAATACTCTTAACTACTGATTACTTATAAAACCTGCTATAAAGGTCAGGGACCCTAACAGGGCAAGTGGAATCAAAATAAGTTATTAAAGAGATAACAGTTCCAGACCTATTCCTGGAGTTGTCTCTCCTAGAAGAATTTTATTAACTGAGACAGCATTTTTCTGCTTTAAATACTATTAAAACTCAGCCCCTTCTCTGGAAAGAACTTCTGAAATATTTACACTCTTATTGAAGAAATACTCAGGTCAGCTTGAAAAATCTTAGAAAGCTAACATATTTTTTAATTACCTTTTAACAGGAAAACCCCCTAGACAACAGTAAGTATTAGATCTTTTACAACTCTTATGACATGATCTTGTACAGAGTGAGATACTATAATCTACAGTTTCTGAAAGGTAGAAGCAAACCACAGTTCATGGCTACAGAACTCCCTATCATGCACTTTGCTGGGCAGAAAAGACAAAAGAAATAAATATATTTAATTATTTTGTATTAAGTACATACCTGCATTTTTTTATCTTGTTCATTTTCACCTATAATTCCTGTGCTACTAACACTGTCATTTCCATCAATAGACACCTGAAAAACAAAGTTGAAATGGGAAAAACATTTACATCAGTTATTTTTATTCATCTGAGAAACAGAGGGTTACAGACAGCTCCTGGGGGTTTATTATTTCATAGCTCTCTAGCTCCCTCTTGGAACATGATTATCCCATAGTACAGGAACTTACATAAAAATCACCACTTGCAACACCTGCATTACAGAACAGGCCAAGTGAACATAGCAAAGTTGTTTTATAACAAGCTAGGAAAGACTGCAAGAACTAAGGATGTTATATTAATAGACTGAAATAAATATTACAATAAACTAATAAACTTAACAATACTGAGTTCTGACAAAAAAAATCCAAACATTTAATTTTATAATAAAGAAACCTCTCTCACTCCTTGTTAAGTAGAATGCACTTGTTTCAAACAGTACAACTGCTTTTTGAATCAAAATACCTAAGACAATGTGTTACATCTCAATTTGAACAAGTCAAATTACAACTAAGCAAGGACTTGGGTATTGCTACATAGGTTTGCTTTTAAAGACAGTCTCCAGAAGGAGAAAGGTATTGCTGTTTCCAAAGAGCTCATAAAAATATTTTAAATACTATTAGATGCTAATGTGAAATTTTTATTTAAATAAAAATGTAATTACCCAGTTTACAAAAAAAAGCACCCCAAACTGTCACAAGCATCAGCTCAAATAACAGCATGTTACTGGTCACTACATAAAGAATTAAAGTGTACTTTGCATAGTTTCCCATTCCTGAATTGTCTCTTTATTAACCACAGGCATTCACAATACTTTCTACATCCACTATATTCAAGGCTGAACCTGATTCACCTAAGCCTAGTCTAAGTGATTTTATTCTTCTCTAAAACAGTTTGGCAGGATTCCTCGCTCCCAAGAGCCACAGCAGGCCCCTGGGATCACTGGTGGTTGTGTAAAGCACCTTGCCCAAAGCACCAGCCCCCAGCAGTTTGCTTAGAGACTGGCATGAACTCATCCCACAAGAACTTTTCACACTCTCTATAAATTAAACAATTTACTTTTGGGAACTTTGAGCTAAAACAGTAATAAGGAAAGTGCCCAAGCAGAGGCAAATTTGTATTACAAATAAGATTGAAAAGAGTGTCAGAAAACAGGTAATTTTGGGGTGTTTGTTTTGACAGGGAAACATTAGCTATTTGGGGACCTTCTCCCTCAAAATGTTTAAAGGAAGGCAGAAGAATCTGCACAGAAAGGAGACTGGAATTACTTCATCCTGAACTTCCTGTTATTGATAGAGAGAACTGCTGACATAAAATTAAAACTTGTTTTGAATTAGAACAGATTAAAATTTATTTCAAATTAGAACTACTGGAAACAAATTATCCCAACAGAAGGTGTGTGCATGTGTTGAGGCATGCACAAATCCCAGTTACTGTGCTTTGCCAGCAGCTGTGATGGCACAGAAAAGCAGCTTATGGGAGGAAAGTATGTGGTGTAACCTCTTCATCATTTCATCACCTATTCTCACTTCACTGAGAGCAATAACCTTTTCTCCTTGCTTGCTTTAGGAGGATGGTGGCATTGACACAGCCCAAAGTTAGAGGATTCAAGTTAAGTCTGCATGTACTTTGCATGTTGTGCAAAGTGGTACTTTTCCTGCCTCAAGGAGAAGTGAGGGACAATGAAAAATGTACATGCTCCACCACTTCCACTGAGCTTCTGGGTAGTCTGCTTGGACCTCTTTGTGTGAACTCTGTTATATTCTACACTGATCTTGGGCACCCCACTGATCTTTCTGCTTTCTGCCTGTTGCATAGGACAGGGAAACAAAGAAGAACCACCACTCTCCAAACTCACCTTTTTTATCTTTGACCTTTAAGTTTCACAAAGAAAGCCTTAAAAGAACCAAACTAAAAAAGACACCCAAATTTAAACTTCTCTTTTGCAGTATTGTATGAATTCTGGAAGGATTCCAGGGCAGATCTTTGAGCTCCTCCTAAAATACTCTCCTTTATGCTAAAGAAAGATTTAGTCTGCCTTCAAATAAAAACACAAGAACACCTACTTTGAGTCAAACTAAAGGCCATAGTACTGCACCATTTCATTTCCAACAGCAGCCAGTAGCAGATGCTGGAGAACACCAAACAAACAGGCCAAGCATGTAGTGGTGCATACCCTATAATATTCAGCCAACCTCCAAGCAATTTGTGGCTTATGAACTTCCTGAACAAGAAGTCACAATAGCCATGGACACATTTTTCTTCCATGAATTAATCTAATTACTCCTTGAATCCAAGGTCACATTAGTGTCCACAATATCCTACAAGCAGTGCTTAACTTTAAGCTCTTTGAAAAAGCATCTTCATTCTTCTTGAACCCATCACATATGAGTTTCACCTGGTGTTTCCCAGTTCTGAAACTGGTGCAGCCAATGACAAGGCACTACTCTTCTTTGGGTTACTTAAAATTTTATAAAATCCTATCATATACTTACCACATGTATTTAATTTCTTCCTGTACCTTTCTCAAGGTGTTGGAAACACCAGCTATGAAAAGCGTACCTTGCCTCACTAAATGTGCATGAACATGGAGAGGAATCACAAAACCACATTCCTTCTTTTAAGAGAAATCCAGGGTTCTGACCACTGAGCTGATATTTGGTTTTGAACATAAACGAGGGGTAGTGCTTGGAAACTCATTTGAACTGACTGTCCCCTAAAGGTTCCAGCAGTACCATTCAGAATAAGGCACTGACATGAAAGCTTAAAGAAAACAATTTTACCTAAACAAACACACAAATGCACTGCAGAAAACAAATTCACATTACAGAATTAAAAAACCCATATTGAGTTAAATAGGATGAAAATGTAAATATATTTGCATTTCTTCTGTTTCTTTGTCACCTTCTCAAAACTGGAACTTACAGAAATTATTATTAATATAGCTGCTGGTTAAGAAGGGCAAAGTTGTGACTGATTTAATCTAAATGAAATAATACCCGTGGAATGTAGAAAAGCATGTGATTACAGCTCAACTAACACCTTTTATTTCATGAAGCGTTAAAGCACAGCATCACAACACAATCTCACTGCCTGTCTTAGGATCTCTCAATTCTAACAGACAGAAGCATAATGGAAAGAACAGTGAATAAGCTATTTAATTATCCTAACTGGCCTCCCAAATTTTGACAACTCTTGGTGACATTAAGAGGACAGACTTTAAAATATATTCTGCTCTTTCTCCAGAGCAATACAAGTACTGATGGCAATTATCCAGCAACTGGGACACTGCTTAACTACAGAGTCATGGAAGTTGCATCACCCACTACCATACTTACATCATGCTTTACAGAAATCCAGTAAAGTGAACAATATGAATTTTGTGATCCTACTGCATTTTTACTATTGAAAATATGGATCAAACAAATTTTTTTCTGAACTGTCTGATTGTCTTTTCTACACTTCATACCATGCCCTTGTTCACTACACTGGCCATATTCTTCACATTCAGGAAAAAAATTAATCCAACAATACTGCCTGAACAAGAATAATTCAACTTTGTTCTTCTTTCCAAACAGTGCCCTTTAAGAGACTCCTTTGCAATGCTATAGGACAGAGAAGATTATAATTTGGTTGTCTAAATGGCTTTCTAAATCATACTCCAGTTCAGTGTTGAATCTTTTCTCCTTTTTATGCAACACTATGCACCAGGGCTGCTCATGACAGTGAAGCACTGTCATGACAATTTGGTGTTCTCTCTTCTAGGAGTCTGAGACTCTCCCAGTTAAAATTTCAGTTCCTAAACAACAATTGCCTTGTTGTTTAATATATAATATTAATTATATACATTAAAACATGATGGATAGAGCAAATGCCTTGCAGAGTACCTTGGCTGCATATTGCTCCAAAGCACTGATGGTGTCAGGGTCGATGGCAGCATCTCCTGTGTGCAGTCCTGCCACTGTGCCATCAGCCTGGATGGCCAAAATGGTGTCTGACTGTGGCATCTGCACCGTGTGGTGGATGTAGGCAGTGGTCCCATCCTCCAGCTGCACAGCTTGCAGAGCACTCTGGTCATAACTGTCTGAGGAATGATATTGCAGAGTGTTAGGATTCTGAAAGGAGCAGCAGTGAGAAATTGCTGCTTCCAGGACATGTCTCCTGAAGTCATAGACACACATATAAAACATATGGGAAATACAACCACTAGTATATGAGAAATAGAAACACTTAAAATAATACTATGAATAACACATGAATTTGTTTTCAAGACAACACCTCCTATAGTTTTATTTCTACACTTACAAAAGTACAAAAAAATTTATATTGATCTAGCTTTATTTACAAAGGAATTCAGGAACACAAATATGCTTTCCATTTCAAATCCTCTTATAATAAAATGAAAATAATATAGGAGATCTATTGATATCATTACTTCAGGTTCTAGAATTCCTAGATCTCAGATTATAAGAAGAGAATCATGCAAATATACAACAGAAACACAAAATACAAAACTAATTGAAAAAAAATCTATATTACATTCCTCTTATTATTGTTGGGGGTAAAATGTAATTGTCACACTGGTTTAAACAGACTTGAAATATATACTTGATCACCTTTTCCAGATAAGTGGTATTGTTTCCAAGACTAGTGTCATCATCTTCTGCAGAAACAGAAGTTATCATCTAGAATAACTACATTTGCATTCTTGACTGTCACATTTTTTGCCCTACTACCTAAAGATATAAACTCACTTTAATGTGATCCTGGGCTAAAGAAACAGTGAAATACACTGGGTTTGATTACATTTATGACTCTTAGATGAAGCCCAAGTCAAGAACTGAAACAGTCTCATTTCAACAATTTTCAAATGTCAAAATTAAAGCAAGAAGTAATTAACACTGGGAATCCCATTAAGATTATGTTTTTTAGAGTATGCTGTTAAATACTGCTGAAGTATTTTACAAAATACTCTCTAAAAAGTGTCCAACACTGGACAGTGTCTGCTGGACACCGAGGTAACAAATCCCACTTGCCAGAAGAGTTACCTTTTGAGGTGTGATGAATAAAAGCTGTAGTTCCATCTTCCAGCTGAACCGCCTGTCCATCTTCCAGACGCAGGCTCTCCCCTGCTCAGGAGGAACAATTACAGCACTTCAGCAAGAGTTCAAAGAGTCCTTAGATGGAAAGATTAAACACTAAATACCCAGGATTACAAAAACCCAAGATCTCGTCATGATTATTTCCATTAAAATAAGAAATCAAGCTCTTATCATAATGACTGTTAATTACTTAATAGCAATATTTATCAGTAATACATTATTTTATAATATTATTTGTATTATTCCACTCACTGCTTTTAGGCATAGGTACATGTTGAACATAAGCAGCAGAACCATCTTCTAATTGTATCACTTGGCCATCCATCAATTTACCATCTGAAATATACAGAATATTTTTAAGAACTCTAATTATGTAACATATCACAGTTTTAATACACAGTTGATAATTTATAGATTAACATAAATAAAATAAAATATCAACAATAAATAATGTTTGGTAAATAGAAAGCACAGTGTGACCGTACAGAGCTTTTAAAATTCTGGGATTACAAAACCAGAAAAGGTCAGCTGTCCTATCTGTTAGGCAGAATGTTGATATCTGGGTTTGACCCATAAAGATCTCTTCACTTTTGTTTGACTTATGTTCTGAATTTCATTTTTGCATCTTATTAGTAGAAAAACCAAAACATTTCTTTTATAGTATTACCATAACTTCCCACTGGAATTGAAACTTCAGAAACATTGTACAGCTTTTGCCTGACTTTACAATGCAAAGAGAGAGTTAGAAAGGGAATACCACTTCGGTAGCCACCAGTTTGCAGTCCTCTGCCTACCTTTAGAATTGTGCTGTATGTAAGCAGTGGAGCCATCAGCCAGGGTAACTGCTTGCAAACTCACACCTTCCATGTTTTCCAAGTTGTCACCATCTGTCAGGGAAAAGTTCACCTTCACTATAACCAGCATGGAACCCTAGCAATCTCAGCTGAAAGACTTCCATAAATTATTACATCCCCTCAAAGCACATTGCTTTGACAAATAAGAAGAGCATGTTGCTCTCACTTGCTTTCTAAGCCTGGGACACGTACTAGAGTCAGATACTCTACATTTTGCTCTGTAAACATGACAGCTAAATGTTATTTTCCTTAACTAAAAAAAATAGTGTCACTGAATAAATAACTACAAAGCTGAGGTTTTAGGAGAACTGTGAATTAAATCACCAGAGCCAACAGTGAAATAACAACACACATATTGAAAATTTTGTTTTCTACAAACTACTTGTCATTAATACAAGTAATTTGTAGATTTAGATTAAAATGCAGATTTAGGAAAGAGTTTGTAATCATGTAAAATCGTAACAAAGATGCCAGGAAACACCAAGTTTAAGCCAATTTCAAGTCATAAATCTATTTTAAAACTCAACTTGCTTAATACATACTTAGATATCAACTGAGTTTACAAAGTATAAAACAGTAAGACTATACAGAGAATAAAGTCAAATTTTATATTTAATGTATTTTTGGTACATTTACACTTCTACTATCTTAATTAAAAATTAATTTTCATCCAGAATTAAATTACTGAATTAAATCAATCTCAATTAACTGTTTTCTGTTGCACTTTTAATTCAGAATACACAACATGAATTTTAGTGTTTTATCTGAGTTTCAAAGAGAAAAGACATAATAATGTAGAAGTATTTTAACCTGAAGGGTCACCTTGCACAGCAACAGCTTCTGTTAGACACAGAGTGACGTGCTGGGCCTCCATTCCTCCTCCAGAAAATTCCGTCATTCCCTGAGAGTCTCGATTTATCTGAGCTAATAACATTGTCTACCTAGAAAAAAAGTATTCAAAAACCAGAAAATTGAAATACAGAACCAGTACTACATAACCCCTGTTTAATGTGATTTTTATACAGCTGCTACAAATATTTTATGCTATGTTTTCTATAAAATAGATGCGAAAAATGATTGAATTATCTGGAAAATACTTTGAAGGAATAAGAGTTATCTGAAATAGATAAGTATTTAACTTTATTTAACAACTAACTTAGACATTAAGTACTTCAGGTAGCAGTTATTTATATAAAGTGCATCAACCACATTTAAATTTCAGTTAAACATAAGTAATTTAACCAATATACAAAGACTAGTGGTGGTAATGACAGTACAGGTAATGATACCTGTTTGTCCCCAGAATTGAAATAAAGCTGACAATTCACCCATAGTCACCCATGACAACAGTAGGGCTTTATCTGTATAAATCAAAGATCTCTCCAGTGGCAGTAAGAGGTTTAAGAACAATGACACACTGCAAAAGGCTAACTGAACAATTCAACTACTTGCCTAGATTTTCCAGAAAGGTTTCTGTTTAAACAAAAACCAACCAACCAAAACAAAACAATCTGTCCTTTAAAATAATGAAGTATCCCACGATAAAATTTGTTAATTAGACAAAAGGCCAGTGATTAGGGAGTGACTGCTGTATCTCACAGAACCAGATAGAGCCATCCCTTTGCATACTCACATTTTTACCCAGGCATGTTTTAATATGGGAGATCACATCACAGTTTTTAATCCTAGTGTGGTTCTATGACCTGCTGGTTTATAATTCAAGGCTGAGAAGAATAATCTAGTGGGTTTAATTTATTTATGAGTACCTTTATAAATATATTTAGCTATTTTTATCTCTACAGTCCACAAATCTGTTCTTGAATAAGCAATTCGTCAACACCCTCAAAGACCATTGAGAAAATTGTACTTTTCTCAAAACTAAGGAGAACAAAATTAGACCATAGAGGTACTCCAGTGTGCCTTCAGTATTTAAAAAAGTTGCCACACTAATTTAGTAGTTGAAAATTATACCCAAGCAGTATTTTCCAAATACATCCAAGTGTATACACAATACTTTGCACACACTTGGATGTATACATCCAATACTTTTTCCTAGAGCTGCAGGCTCAGTTTTTATTTCCAGTTAATGGAACAGATACAGATTAACAAAGGAAGTGGAAAGCAAGGGTACCTTTGGCAAAGTTTTAAACCCTCCTGTATTTTTCATATGTTAGATTGAAGATCATACAAAACCCCCTAAATTATTACTAATGATCAGTGCATAATTCTATAAGAAATATGCCTTCCAAGATTAATGTCCTCATAATTTCTCTCTGGAACATTAAGGAAATTAAAATACTGGTTTGCAATAAGGTATCTGAACCTTGAACAACTGGCATAAAAAAGATACAATGAAGAGAGAAACCAAAATACAATTTAAAATAAATGGGTGTGAGGGGATTTTTTTTGGGATCCAAGAGAAGACGGGTAATTCTTGCCAACATGCTTTTCAGGAAAAGGAGCTTTTACAGAAAATTAGGCCTCTAAAAGAGATGTAATACACATGAAAAGGAGAAGCCATCCAGACTAAATTGCATTTATATAGATGTCTCTGAAGAAAATTAAATAGGAAAATTTGTTTGGATGCTATAATCTAAGAGATAAAGAATTGTATGAGGATATAGGAGATCCTGAGTTCAACCTCTTCCTCTGCCATGTCCATGACTGTGAGTTTGGAAAAGTAGTTTCTTTTCCTACCACTCATTTATCATCCCCCATCTCAAAATAGGCAGAAAACTTTTACATAGGAAGCAGTTTGCTCACAAACAAAAAATCAGTCATGATGTAGCCACAGAGTCAGCCTAAGCAGGCTGAAGCAAAGCAGCCCGGCATTCATGTACTCTGCAGCAAATAAAATTAAAGAACTGTTGCAGCTTAAAAAAAAAACCCAACAAAACAAAACAAACCACCACCAACAAATCTAGCAACAAAAGGAGTTTTATCCAGCCCCGTTTGCAAGGGCTGCTTTTCTGGAGGTGCTACCAGCTTGTAGCAAGTTAACTATTTCTGGTACTATATGCTAGTGGTACCCAGAGGCTGGCTCTCCTCTGACTGCTAACAGAGGTCTGTATTGGCAGCATTTTCCATGCTCAGTTTTCAGGACACCTCATGGAAGCAGGCTGCAAAACAGCTACACCATTGCACACAGCAGAGAAGAAAGGCTTCACAAGACAAGTGTTTACTGGAACTAGAGAGTGAAACAATTCCAGCAGAGTGCACCTCAAAGGCCTTTCAGCTCGGGTCTACTCGAGGAGTATTCCCTCTCTTAGACAAAGTGTCTTTGGAGATCCCCAGCACCTTTAATACCATCTTCCTTCCTGCAGAACTCATGGCTCTTCTCCCACCTTTGGGCAGCAGCGAGGGAGCCAGTCCATGCAGACAGCTGCAGAGTTCTGAGAGTCAGAGCAGAACGAATGGCTTCAGGGCTGAGTAGCTACTTTGGAAGAGAAATAAATCTCATGCCAGATACATTCAAGGGCTGCAGGAGCAATAGTATTTGTTTAAATTGTTTCACAGTGTTTGTTACTGTAACATAGCTGTCCACTCACACACTGAAAACAGTTGAACAGAACTGCTGCACACAGAGCAATGGCTACAACTTTGCTCTCTTCCAGAGGATCTGGACAATCATACAACCTCACATAAGAACCCAGCAACAATGCAGCCTATTCCTCCCAGTTCCAGCTCCTTTCAATGGTCACTTCCAGCATATCCTTTTCTCAATCCTCTGTCCTTCCACTAAGTTCCTTAGCCCCAGCTCCATCCCTTCTCCTTGTACCAATTTTCTTCTTCAGTCCTATCGCCATACTAAATTTTCAGGACATGCCTCTTCCCAACCATAATCCCATCCTTCTTGTCAGAATAATATAAAATACTTCCATGCCCACACCAACTCCTTCTGCAACCAGTCTCCAAGCCTTCTCTTGCTGCTGCTCTGTTTATGACCCCCTCACACCCTTCCTTCCTCTCTGTGTCACCAGTTCACGTTCAGACCCACCTTGGAACTACATCTCCCACCAGAGGCTGGAGCACTGGGCTCCTCCCAACCACCAGCCCCAGCTTTCACTGCCTCTGCAGGGACACAGCAGCTTTGCTCTGCCACTCTGTTGTGCAGGGAAGAGAGCCCTCAGCCAAAAGGGGATGGGCTGCTCCCAGCCAGGCTCTCTTCTTTCTCACTGGAGAACACTGACTAGCCAGACAGGGCTGGGAAGATGCAGGAAGGAAGGATGCAGAGTTGGCCTGTATTGCAGAGAAAAGGGTCAATCCATCAGAGATAATGATGCCACAGTGTCACTTGGTAAGAGTGATCAAATACAGGAACAAATTGCCAAGACAGGTAAGGACTCTCCATCCTTGTAGAGGTTCGAAACAACTTCACACAGCCCTGGACAAATGAGACTTGCTTTCATCAAGCCTGAACCAGAGAACTTCCGAAAGTCCTTCTAACTTAATTTGCTCTCTGGTAATCATTTCAATAATGCATACATCCACAACAGCATCACCTTGCTGTTCATGTATCATCCACCCTGCAAATATACTCTAACATTTTTTGCTTTGCTTTTTCAAAACCAGTTGGTTTTCATCAAACTCAAATCTCTTCCTTGCCTCTACTTCAGTCACTTCCTTCAATTTCCATCAAATTTGTCTCCATAATTTTTTCCATCTAAATCTCACCAGCTTCTTTCCCTAATCCATATAATTGCTTTTATTCCCCTGCATTTGCATCAGTAAGCTTTTTTCTTTAAATCTGTCTGCCAGGAGTTTTGTCAATAAAAATCTAGGAGAGACTTCCTTTACCCACTTCAAATATTGCAGCTCATTTGTTAAAAGCAGCTGAAAGTAACTATTTTTAGGAAAAAGCCAGGAACCCTGGGGTGGAGCCTACGTAGCAGCTCGGCAAGATTGACACACGTGGATTCTGCTTCATCTCAAGAGCTGTCTCACAGAAAAGACCAGCCCAGGCTCAGTCACGAAGTATTCACTGAAGTGAAAACTTGAGAGTTGACTTTGTGAACTCTCGCAAATCTTCACAGATCATACGCAAGTTGCAACTGTCAATTTCCACAGGCACATCAATGACGATATCTGGGCAGACTTGCACAAGGACAGTAACGGATCTTGCATTCCTGAAATGATTAGTCACCAAAACATGTCTATGGTATCCATGCAGAGAAAATGTTACCATTCTTTTAGATGGTTCCAACACTTCTCACAAAAAATCAGCCTGAGGCAAAAAAAATTTTAACAGAAAATCTCTGAACTGGTGTGACCACAGGCAGCCACCCCCCCTCTAGCACTGATCTCTTGAACAGCCATCCAGCAGGACCACAGAGGTGCAAGCTCTTATTAAAAAAAAACAAAACACACAAAACAAAAAAACAAAAACAAAAACAAACCAACCACCACCCCCTGCAAATTATCTGAAGAGAAAAAAATACTCCCAGACACACATTAAATTCTGAACACTTGGAAATCAAAGGCATGTGAGAGGGGAAAGGATGGTTAAAAATAAAAGATTTTTTCATGAAGAGTTCATCAAGTTACCTATCTAGAGAGCACCTCCTGTTGTTTTTCTTCCACTAACACTCAAACAAATAGAATTTTCTGAGTGCTATCACTTGTTTTGGAGAAAAGATGCAATGTTAGAAGAAAGGTTTTTTTGTAAACTCAATCTAGCAACTGGAAACAGGAATCTCCACTAAAAACTAGGAATCAAGCAACTAAAAAACAGCAGGTGGAATTCAGGCAACTGAGAAGCAAGGGAAGAGCTGGCAAAGGGCATGGCTGCTCTGGAGCAGAAAGGGGATTTGGGGCACTTGGCAACTCCAGCGGCTGAGAGGACAGAATGAGGAGAGCCCAGTGGGGCTGGAAAATAGCAGGAATTCCTCATTTAAAGAATAACTGTACTGCTGGACAAAGGAAAATTCCTGCAGTGACAGTA